TTATTACCGTCAATTGGCGAAATATCATGTGAGGCAAAATTTTGATAAAATTTTGATAGCACTATAGGATACGGTAAACATAGAATTTATATTAGTACGTACGTACAGTACATTAATTATTTAATGTTTCACATAATAAATGTTAGCATTTAAAAATAAAGAACAAAAATGATCCAATATGTACAGTACATTAATTATTTAATGTTTCACATAATAAATGTTACATTTATAAATAATGAACAAAAGTGAACCAATTATAATCTTTACATAAGTCTTAAAACGTTATAAATATATGTTGTTTTTTCAAATAACGAAAACTGTATATCATTTAATATACTTTATTATTACTTCCAATGATACAATTTTCATCAAAAAAGCTAGGGCCATATGTCGGCCTTATATTTTTCATAACGATGTTCTACAGTGGAATACTCATTTTACAAGAAATATTTTTTATTAACTCTAAAATAAATAGTAACATACATAATACAACCATCAATGAACTAAAATATTCAAACTGCACTAACGCCCTCGGATTCAGCCATGTTTACGTTATTAATCTTAGTTATCGAGTAGATAGATTGAGAAAAATGATAGCCTTAAAAAATTATCTTGGTCTGGATTTAGAAATTATCACCGGCGTTAATAAATATGATAATAGAGAACTTAAAATATTTGAAAAGAGTTCGTTGCGTCTAGGCGTTAAGGCTTGCTATTTAAGTCATTACAGACTTTATGAATCAATTGTGAAAAGAGGATATGAAAGTGCTTTAATTTTAGAAGATGATGTCGATATGGAACTTAACATTACAGATATTATGACTAAAGCTCATCAAAATTTACCTAATGATTGGGATTTACTATTCATTGGCCATTGTCATTCATCGAATACTGAGTACGCAGCCAATTTGATTGCTCATGAATTACGTAAATATGGTCATTTACAGTGTACACATGCTTATGCTGTTTCAGCTAAAGGTGCTAAGAAATTATTAGAAAAACTTCAAATTAATGACTTACAACAACCTATTGATATGGAGATACGCTACCTTATGGAGGCTGGAGAACTTAATGTCTATTCGATTCATCCATCAATTGTTATACAGATTAAAGGTGATCACGACCTTTCAGACACATATACTGGTCCAGCAGATATTCCCGATCCTTTAATGA